TTACTGTCACCTTTGACTCTGGCTCTTGGTGCCATCACCATGGTGTTGGCGTCGCCTTTGCAAGTCGCAGCTGCTTAACACATTGCACTTTAACTGCTGTGTTTGCAGGGCTCTGTTTGCCCTCCTGATTTGGGTCAAGCGAGATGCGTATCATGCCGCTCTGCGCGCAGAGTCCACTGCGCCTCTGCTCTCCTGCTGCTAACCCAGGCCACTAGCGAGCAAGGCAAGATGAAGGGCGTTGGTAGGAGGGGAACTGCGGGACCCAAATCTCCCTTTTGGATTCAGGGTAAGGTGATGGTTCAGTTTGAGGAAGAAACTAATGATTTGAAAGCTGACAAAAGCCCGTCCTGGCATACGCTGTTTCTCAGGAGTCCTGCTTTGACTGGTCGCATGACATTTGCTGAGGTCATGCTGGTGTCCCAGGTCACATTAATGCTGAGCTGGGATCTCACAGGTTAAAAATACCAACATACTTTTACCTACACCTGTGTCCGTGCAGCTTTCAAAGCACCAAAGCTTGAACAAGCAGCCTCAACTTCCCATCCTTCCTTGTTGCAAAAACATCTCGGACAATCTAAAAATATATTGAACTTAAGCGTAGATCCGTCCAACATTTTCTTTCAAAACGTTTAAATAGTGCAGAGTGCTTTGTAACTCCATCCCATCAGATGCAGTAACACAAAATGTGGGGACAGCTAATAGAGGAAAGTGGTAGAGGTCAGAGGAATAAATGAGGATGGTGAATAGTCTTTGAAGAGGAGGTATTTTCAAGTCCCTAAGACATGATAAAATTTGCCTAAGCACCTATGTATAAATCAAGCCATAATATACACATTTGTCAGAGTGCCCCCAGAACCCACAATTACTGTGTTCACTATGCACAAAACTGATGTAGGCCCTGAGCTTGAAATGCTGCACAAAAGCCCCGAGACTGCTGCACATGGAAGAGTTAGAAACTGTATCCTGCTCACCTCAGCAGCACTTCTTATCCCTTCTGCCCAGGAGAAGGGTTCATCGGGAGAGCTTTTTCCTGCCTGAAAATGCCAGTTACAGAGGTTTATATGAGACATTGTGTTGTCAGCTCGTGTTTCGAGTTACGATGCCATTGACAGGATGGTTTATGATGTCAGGAGACTTTTCACCCTGCAGCGAGTATTTCTGCAAAGGTGCCCAATCCTGTGCGACAGTACCTGTCAACGGGGCCATGAAGTAGCACTGCCGACATGCTTAATGCTTTGTTTTCCCCAAACAACTGCCAAGAAGCTCTTGGCCATGTTAACTGTAATAGCTGTGGTTCACTCAGAAGCCTGCTCCTTAAAGTTAGGTAAGTGTTCAGTTAAATTTTGACGACATTTAGCATCATATTAATTGCATTTCTCTAATTACTACCGATTGGAAGTCTTATTCAGAAAACCCTCTTGGCAGTAATCCTTCTGGTTAGATAAAATGGTGAAACTGTGAAATAAAGTGAAAAAGCAGCTAGAAGAAGTGTTGTTGGAAGAAGCAGAAATCCTGAACAACTGTGGTGAAATTGTACCAGCCTTTGGCATGGGAGCTCTTAACTCCAAAAGTGTCTGTCCACCGTCCACCAGTACAAACATCCACTGACAGTCTCCCTCTGTGCTGACAGGCACCCAGGGGGAATAATGTGCTTTTTCTTTGCTATCATATTATGTTATATTATATTGTATTCAGCAAACATGAGTGGTTATGGTCCCAGATTTCAACTTAACTTTGCTAGTTTTATAAGCAGGGCAGAAAAGGTGCTCCACATAGTATATGCAAAATAGAAATAATAAAAATAGCACATATATAAGTGCTAGCATTATATCTATTTATCATTTATATTCTAGTTGTGCCTAGAGGCTGTAATCTATTATGCCTCATTTTTTGACTATATGAATACCTATTATTCATTCTTAAGATCACTGCCTTCTGTACAAGATAGATGGTAATTGAGGCTGAATGCTACAGAAGATAAAAAAAAAGATGTTCTTTATTCTCTAGCTTTGGGGCCAAAATTGCTGGTTCTCCTTTTTCTCTGCCAGAGTCACCACTGGCTGATGCTCAGGACTTCCATTGTGGTGGAGTGATGCTTGCCCCTAGGGGCATCAGTATAGGATTTCTTGGAGTGTTTGATGTAGCTTCCATAAAATTATTTTTAGCAAATCTGTAGTTGTTTATACAGCTAATAGATCTTTAACCAACCAGAAAATCTCTTAACTAATATTAATAATGGAGCTTTGAATTAAGAACTGTGAGTTCCTTCCTTGCCTGGAGCAAGGGTCTGGAGATATCAGGAAAGCAAAGCTGTTTTAATGCACTTGATATGAGACAACCTCGTATTTGTTGCTATTGTGGAGATATGTGTTAAAAGAATAGCTCTAGGGATCCTTTTGCATGTGCACAAATTTAAGTTACGGTTATCCTTTACATCAAACTGTATTTATGCCTTTTTTCAAAGAAGCAGATAAGAAGTGGGCTCGAGTGAAAACAGGAGCTAAATGGTGAAGCCACTCCACACTGAAGGAGAAGTTAACAGCAGAAGTGTGTATTAACACACTCAGTCTTTTAATCCCACTGAGAGCAGTGGAAATATTTTTCCAGTTTCTTGAGGAACATCTTAAGCATGTGCTATCCTGCTGGTTCTTGTACTGGAAGAAGTCAAAGGGATGTTGTACCTTATATCCTGCTTATTTTTTCCCAACATATCTGCACTACCGTTAAGTTATTCCTTTCGATATTCCTGCAGCCTTGGAGGTCACGGACCCAAACTGCCAGCTGTGCTCTTTCTGTCCTGCATTTATAGGATCCAGGGTACCACGTGGGAGAAAGCCCTTATGGGACAGCCCAGGCAAGGGAGAAGCTTGGGCAATCACGGGAACTACAGTCACACTGCTGCAATTCCCCTGTTCCTTGAGTACAGAACAGGGCAATAGAGACATTGCTGGGATGAGTGTTGCTTGAAAAGTTTTATTCTGAAATAGCATCCATTCAGTTATATGTTTCGTGCAAATTTGTTCAGTCTTATTCTAGAGGCTTCTGATGCGGCTTCTATTTGCGAAAATCTAAGATAAATGGCATATAGTAAACCATAGGAGATTTATGATAGTGTTTTAGGAACTCAGCCATTCTGTACCTGGTGGGACACAAAAGGGTTTGTCTGAGCAATCTGGTCATTCCAAAGGTCCCACAGCCCTGCTAGGGAGGAAGACTTGGAGCAGGGATCTTCCCTCCTTCTCCAGCTCTGCACAGTTGATGTTTTTCATTGGGCCTCAGCATCTCTCAAGGAGCGGGACAGGCCAGAGGCAACACTGGGGCGATGGGGAGGGCCCGCGTCCCTCTGAGCAGCACGCGTCCTCGCCCAGGGAAGAATGCTGGGTGCAAAAAGCAGGATTTGACCCTCCTCAGCACATTAAATTATTAACAACCAATCGTTATGTCTGGCTAACTTTTGCAGCATCTATTTTCATCTCTATCTTGGCCATTAGAAATCCGATCTGTCAGCGGTGTTTGTAAACTACAGTAACTTCTTGACTGGGCGATCAGCACTAAAGACCTTGAAAAATTGGCAGAAGCTCTTGCTCTGTGAAAACATTGAGATCAATAAAGCAAATTGATAAATACTGTTTCGGCGAATATAGCCTCTTGAATTAAATGCTCGAACATGTAGCAGTAACAGATCGTTCCAGTTACAGAGCATCATGCTCTAAAAGCAGTATGGTTGCTGCTGTGAAAGAGAGATTATGTGAAATGTAGTTGATCCTAATAGCTTCTGCCATAAAAAAGTAGCCTGTGTCATATGGGGATCTTGAGTAACTAAAGTGAGAGGTTACCGGAAAAAGTCAACCCTTAAATTGCAGACAAAGAGCCGTCGCGGGCAGCCATATTGCATCATCGGGATACCTCACGGGCGGTAGGAATGAGCTGTTCTTCTGCATGTCAGTGAAGCAGCAAATTGAATTCTCATAATATGTTTTGAAGATGAGTCTTGTTAGGTTTGATGAGGTGGAAAAAGAAGCGAGATCGCTGGTTGTTGCCGTGCACGCTGCCCTTGGCTCCGTGCCATGGTTAATCTTCCTAATGGCAGCGCGCTTGTAGAGCCGTGCGGTAGCAGCTACGCGTCTCGCCTCAGACCAGCACACCAAGAGAGCTAGTCGAGAACTTCCTCTTTGGGTATGAAAGCTCTTTTGTGACAATCCCAGAAATCTCATTTTAACGTACGTACCTGGAAAACAAACTCAGTCGTTCCTGAATGCGTTCAGCAGTGAGCAGAATAAAATGCAGATGTCTTTAGTTTAAGCACACACGCACACTTATACATACATATATATACATACATACATATATACATACGATAGTTACAAACCTAGTGCTTTATCACCTTTTATCACTTTTTATTTCAAATGTCTTTACAAAACACACCATCATTGGTTTTGCCTCTGCCACCTCATTTTCCTCAACTCACCTTGCTAATTCCTTAGTTCTGAGGAAATCCATAGCCATCACTTCCCTTGGAGAAAAGCCTGTCTTCTTGCCAGGTCTTCCTCACTGTCAGCATGGACATCTGTGCAGGGCAGTTTGGTGTCCAGCTGAGGAGATCCCAGTGCTCTGCGGGGAGCCCGCTAGAAAAACCTCCATTACCTAGGCCTCCTGCTTCATCTTCTGACATGGTCGTGTCCAGTAACCTGCTGTGCACTTGAGTTCATGTTGAACTGATTTTCATATTTCCCTATATAAATATTTGTTGCCTTTGCACACACAAAAATGAGAGGTGAGAGTTTGAAACAGGTAGATGTCTTAACGTGTTGGTTTGAAATGGGGTTGTAGGGAGAAGAAATAGGGATAGAAGACTTCATGAGACAGAAAGGAGAAAATAAAGGGAAATAGGTTCTTAAAAAGAACTGCTTTTTGCTAATTCGGTTTTTAACCTAGTGTTGCTATTTGAACTCGTGGCATTGGGGTGGTTGCTAATGGTCACAATTCTGATCTGTTCCCAGTTACCCATACAGTGAAGACTCCAGCCAGGGAAAGCAGTACATGAACACCAGATGTCCAGCGTGGTGCGACAGGATTTTGATGTCACACTCTGCCAAGGAGCTCATCCTTAAGGTAAGCACAGCCCTGCACCCCTGCTACTTCGTCCTGGCAGTTCTGGCTCCAGCAGAGGCAGGTTGGGCTGGGAGCCCATGAGGCAGCTCACAGACCCCTGCTGGCCCTTGAGCAGGGAAGGTCCAGCTTCCCTCCGCTTTTGGTGGTGAGAGCTGTGCCTTTCCCAGGGATATCTGGGATCCCGGGTGGGCCAAATCGCCCCTGCAGAAACCTCTCTCACCACCAGCTGACAAGGGAGTCTGTAGCAGGAAGGTTCATCACTTCAGCACATCAGTTACATGCCCAAATTTGGACATTCCTTTACAGTTTCATAAATATTTCGCAACCCTTTCAGCACCTGTGGTTCCTCTGGGGATCCGAGTCATGCAGGTTAGGTTAACTTGGCAATGCTATAGCCAAGCTTAAATGATGGAGATGCAGTGCAGGAGCCTTCCAGTTCTCTGCTCCTCTCCACTTTCTGTTCTCCTTGGAAACACTGAAGTGGGTGAACCAGTTATGCAGCCCAACATGCACTGCGCTGCTTTTCCTCTGTGCTCAGTCTCAGCACCTGTCCCACTTGCACTGGCAACCGGTGTCCTGGAGGTCCTAGAAGACCAGGAATGCATCAGGAAAGCAGAGTTTGATACAGGGAGGTCACCCTGCCTTTCTGCTCTGAGCTCAGTATTCCCAGGCAAGGTTGAATGTGCTGTAGCATTTGAGCACTGTTGCTCCAAGCCGTCATTGTCTCATGTCATCCAGCTACCTTGTGCTTACAGCATTCCCGATGGTGAGAGTTGTGTTCTCCAGAGCTGCCCAAAGGGCATCTGATGTGTCGCCTGGGTTTCCCTGCATAGCTAATACCGCTTAACATGGGTGAATTATATCAAATAGTCTTTGCAAATAAAATCATATCCTACAGCTTCATGGCATTCCTTTTCTGTTTAACATAAAGAAACCCTTGAAACTTGCTTTTCTGGAGTTTGTAACCTTCTCCCTCTCTCTCTCATCAGGGTTATTTATCTCATGATTAGACTGTTTGCTTTGCAGTATGTAACTCACTGAAAGGCTGAGAACACTTTTTCCGTAGCTACTCGAGTTTCAGTCCAGTGCACTTCCTCCCACGTTTTAATGTACATTGTCTGCATGGTATCTTGAAGGTTCCGCCAAAGTTCTAGATGAGAAGACCTAGCCCATTAGCACACAAAGTGTGAACCATTGGTTTTGAAAGTCACCTCTGCAGCATGCAGATGGGTCTGTGAACTGCAGCGTGGACCGTGTGTCACCTCTGGAGATGAAAATTTGTAATAACATCTCAAGCACTTTTGCATCCTTCTTTGACAAAATGGGCCATGTAATTGGTCCAAAAATAATAAATAAATAAGAAGTATAACTAGCCTGGACCTGCTGCCTCTTTGGGAGCAAAGCAGAGGTCCTTTTGGTGATGCCCAAGGCCTAGAGGGTGCTCAGGAGCTTCCTGTCCCAGCCTCCTGCACTGACGTATGTCTGAATGGGCCTCGTGTTGGAGTGGAGTACCTTTTTAATTAAATGATTGCCATTTTAGTCATCTTTTTTCAATCATTGTGAAAGGAAGGTAAAGGAAACATTATGCTGATTGATATGCAACAATTACAATTATAATACAGCCAAACAATGCATGCATTATGCTGTTTAATGAAAAAAAACATGGTGAAACCAAGAGTCTTTCAGTAGGAGCAGTGATGTCAAGATCGATGTTACTTGATCTCATGTAGCAGAAATACCATAAGCAAAAGTGAGGTTCTCCCCCAAAATATTACAGGTTGCACTCGGCGACATGGA